GAATCTCTTCCTCACAGCATACACAGGGATTAACTCAAAATGTATCATAGACCTAAATACAAGAGCAAAACATATACAACTCTTAGCAGAAATGTCAAATAAGCAAGCCACAGAAAGACAAATACCACACCATCTCACTTGTATGTAGAATCTAAAAGAGTTGAACTCATAGAAGTAGAGAGGATGGCAGTTACCAGAGGATGGGTGTGGGCAGATGGGAACAGGGAGATATGCAAAGGATATAAAGTTACAGTTAGACAGGAAAGATAGGTTTTAGAGATCTACTGCAGGGCACAGTGACTATAATTAATAATAGTGTATTGTAGGGTGGACATGATGCCTCACACCTGCAATCCCAGCACTTTGGGAGGCCAAGGAGCAGGGTTGCTTAAGCCCACAAGATGGAGACCAGCCTGAGCAACACACTGAGACATCGTCGCCATGAAAAACAAAATTAGCATGGTGTGGTGGTGCGTGCCTGTGGTCTCAGCTATGTGGGAGCTGAGGTGGGAGGATCATTCGAGCCTCAGAGGTGGAGGGTGCAGTGAGCTGTGATCACACCACTGCACTCCAGATTGGGCATCAGAGTAAGACCCTGCCTCTTAAAAACAAATGGTGTGTTGTATATTTCAAAATTGCTGAAGAGTATATTTTAAATGTTCCAGTGACAAAAAAGTATATGAGGTGGTAGATATGGTAATTAACTTGATTTAATCATTTAACAAGGCAAACATATATTAAATCATCATATTTTACCCCATAAATATACACAATTATTCTTCATCAACTTCTTAAAAAGATTCCTAGCAGAAAACGTAGAAGTAAGTCTTAATGACCTCGAGTTAGGTAACATTTTCTTAGATATTACACCAAAAGCACAAGAGACAAAAGAAAGAATAGACTTCATCAAAAATTAAAAACCTATGCACTACAAGCAATAGCATCAAGGAATTGAAGACAATCCACATAATGAGGAAAGTATTTGCAAATTATATATATGATAAGGGATGAGTATCCAGAATATCTTTTAAAACTCTTACAACTAAATAATAATAAAATAAATAACCCAATTTAAACATGGAAAAATCTGAATAAGCCTTTTCTCAAAAAGGAATACAAATAGCCAATAAGGACATGGAAAAGACGCTCAGGGTTGTTATTTACTAAGGAAATGCAAATTAAAACTACACAGGATATCATACACACCCACCCAGATAACTGTAATAAACAGAAAAATAGAAAATAACAAAGGCTGGAGAATCTGCGGAGAAATGTGAGCCCTCATACGCTGCTGGTGGGAGTGTAATTGATGCAACCTCTGTGGAAAACAGTTTGCCAATTCTTCCAAAAGTTAAACAGAATTACCTGTGGCCCAGCCATTCCACTCCTAAGGCTACACCCCAAGATAACTGAAAACAGGTTCTCAAGCAAATACATGTATACATATGTTCGTAACAGCACTATTCGCAATAGCCAAATGGTGGAAACAGCCCAAGTGTCCATCAACAGATGAATGGATAAATGAATGCTGATATGTGGATACAACTGAATATTATTTCGTTATAAAAAGGAATGACTACTAATAAATTCTAAATGACTACTAATAAATTCTAAAACGGGGATATGCCTTGAAAACATTAAGCAAAAAAAAAAAAAAAGTGACACAAAAGGTCACATATGGTGTGATTCCATTTTTAAGAAATGTCCCAGATAGGTAAATCCAAAGAGACAGAAAGCAGACTGGTGGTTGCCAGGGGTGAGGGTAGAGGGGAAGGGAAGGAATAGCTAAGTGGGCATGCGGTGGTCGGGGGCTGTGGGGCCAGGTGACTAGGGGGTAAAAAGCAATTCTGGAAGATGATTGAGCTACTCTTCCTTCAACTTGAGAGAGAAAGTAAGAGAAAGAAGAAGAGGGAAAAGACAGGGAGGGGAGAGGGGACAAGAGCAGAGGGGGATGGAAGACAGAGGGAGAGAGGGAGACGGGGGAGGAGGGGGAGAGGCAGAGAGGGGGAGAGAGAGAGACAGAGAAACAGAAAGAGAGAGAGAGAAAGAGAGAGAGAGAGAAGACAGAGGAAAGAGAGAGAGAGAGAGCGCGCGATGGTTGCCCAAAAAGAAGTTAATGAACACAGCAGGCATTGCTCATCTTGATGGAATACAAACAACAAAACAGTCCACCGCCTGGGCTGCCCTTACTTGAGCACACTCCTGGTGTAGTCGATCCTCATGCTTGGGACACTGAACCTCATGATTTCCTGGCGCTGAGAGCCCAGGAGCTCTAGGCAGCAGTGCCTGGGCTACAGAGCTGGGTCTGGTTTGAGGGCAGGGTGATCCCCTCATCACAGTCCCAAGAGATTGCAGATCTGGTCTCCACTCCTGAGTGTCAACTGGCACAACCACAGTTCATTATCTGGAAGAGTCAGAGCTGA